TGATACTTAAATAGCTTGGTTTGTGGTGATTGGAACTTTTCTGTTGCAGTTCCTACAGGCTCGGAGTTGTGAAGATTTGTGTTCCTTTGAGGGCAAATGGTGTAGAACAAAATGCAAATTAAAGATTTTTCCTTTTCTTCTACAGATGTTGTCAACTTGGACCTGAAGTCTACCCTAAGGGTTCTATACAATCTATTCACAAAGTACAAGAATGTGGAGTGATCCTGGAAGCTGCTGAGATCCTCATCCTACCAGTCTTCTTAGGCAGAAAATCCAATGAAAACACCCTCTGCACATTCCCTTTGTGCCTTATGCTATACTTATTGCATTCTTTCCAAAATTGCTATGATCTCTGTAGCTGTTTGTATGACAGTTCCACTAAAAGTTATGCATGTGTAATCTCTAGGTCACTTAAAAATGTGTAGATATTTTATACTTCTACCAGGAGATATTCTTGAATCTGTTTGCTATGATCAAGAAATATTCTCTTGATAAAGGAAATATACCACTAACTATTTTAATTAGCAGGGAAAACTTGAGACTTTACTCATGATTGTGGACTCTGATTCTATAATAACCTTTCTTTCACTTGATGATTTTCCAGACTTACCCATTAGCATTAGAAACCATTAACCATTAGAAAATCAGCATTGAAATTTATTGGGAAGCTGTGCCTTTTTTATTAAATAAAGTTTAATATGTTCTATTGAGTGAATGAGGTTAAGGTTAATTACAGACAATATCTAAGCTTCAGTTTTTGCGTTAACCTCCTACTACTCTGTTATTTCCATTCAGTGTTTACACAGAATAAGACTTGCAATGGCATAACCATCTAGTCTTTTGAGGTCTCTTTTTATTTCATCTCCTTTCTAGGAGAAATATGTTTGCTAGAACCATTGTCATCCTTCAGGTATGCAGTTTCAATCAGGTCAGTCATCAGGAGCTTGTCAAATATGCCCAGGTTGGATTAATGTTTTCTGTCCCAGTCCTTTCTGAGATGTGTGTGGAGACTAACGAGCTTAACAGTTCAAAGGCTGTCACTTCATTTCATGTAACTAAGATAAGGGGTTGGATTCCTCTTGAAATTGCTGGCACCTGTACAGTTTTGGGGGTCAAGCATTTATAAACAGTTTTAAAGTATTTTCTTTCCTGAAGATTAAAAGTGAAATTTTGTGTAAATAAGAGCTTACCTCTTTGATTACCCTGGCTTCTACTAAAGGCAAAGTGTACTTAGTGCAAGCCAGTGGTTAACTCTCAAAGTTGAAGCTTTGCAATGATGTTTAGTTGTGCTTCAAGCTGATTTCAGGTCGTCCAGTGTCATCCCACTTCAGTAGAAATTTCAAAATTGACTTTTTCTCCTTTACTTCTTGAACATTTTTTAATCTCAGAAAGAAGGCAAATGGGCTTCTGCTTCTTCATTTCTTATTTTGAGGTTCTGAATTCTAGTAATGAATTACTCATGCCACCTCCCCTCATGCCTCCAGAATAAAAGTGAAAGGAAGTTTCTGTTTTTCCATGAAAAATTCAGGTCCATGTATTCTGTAGGATTCTTTGGGAGTCATTGTTTGTACTTAAGGAGCAACAGACCTCTTGCTGTTTATAATGACAGTGCCTAGTACTATAGGAATTGAATTTCTGATGAGACCATTGGACTCTACCGTGGTGCTGGCAGTTATTGCAGAGAGAACTTGTAGAAGCACTGAGACCAGATGGGTCAGCTCTCCTGGCAAGTTAATTAAATTGATCTAACTTTTGTGCTATGAAATAGGCTGGAAGATGATTGAACTGAAGTGTCTCTCAAACTTTCTGTTTAACATAATGCATGTGTGGGAAATGAGTCTGTAGAAGAGCCATCATTCCACTCACCCCCGGATGTGGAAATGCCAGTGCTATCTTTATTATCTGAGATGTTGGGAAAGACCTCCAGAGAATCTAGTCATGAAATTACTGACTATATTAATATAAAAAACAAACAGAAAATAAGAAGAGGAGGTGGATGAGAGCAGTTTTGGTTTGAGAGAAGAAAAGGCTATTCCTGAGATGGGAATTTACTACGTCTGATATCTGAATTGCCTGTGAGCAGATGTGGACACAACAAATTTTAAGAGTCTCTGTCTTTTTCAGTTAGGTGTTTCTAGTTACTCTGCAGAAACTTGAATCCCTCCTTTGCAATCTGAGGCACGGGTCTCTTTTAGCATTTCTTATGTTAATATCCCAACTGGTCAAGACAGGATTGAAACATTGGGCAGTGTCATATCCTGTGGGTTTAGTTATCTTTCTTCAAGATGGTACATGTTGCACAGGGAAAATGCATTTTTCATTCCTTAGCTCATTGTTGTATAACCAGGTCACTCTTCCTGAGAACGTTGTCTTTACTGTTGACCAAAGAGGGAGAGGGAATGGACCTTAACTGAACTGGAGCTTAGTTGCAAGCAGAACAGTTTGCAGGAAGAGCAGTGGAGGCAAAGCCTTCTCTAAGCACGTGTTTTTGTCATGACTTTGTTACGAGATACTTACTCTCAAAAAGAGAAATCAGTGTTTAGAATGTTATTCACAAACTCTTTGCTCTACTGGAGTTTTAGATATGTTCTCCTGGGTACCAGTGGGGTAGATTTGAACCCTGTTGAGTTCACCTGGAATGCTGAATGCTCTGCAGTACTAAAGTTTCCACATTTTTAAATACTGTCTGTCTTTTCCAGTTCATACAACTTGCCTTTTAGGTGCGTCTGCTTGACGTGTTGAGATCCAGTGAGCTGAATTACAACAGAAGAAGCCCAGATGTTCCTTGGCTGCATCCTATTTCTCTAGATAAAAAAGCAGCAAAGCAGATTTTACTTTTTTGGTCAGTTAAAACTTATGGGCCTTCTCACGCCTCCTTCTCATACCCCAGTGCTTTCAGTATTAATGTATTTTTTTAAGAATCTTTTTTACAGTTTTTAACAATGTTTACTCTTGATATCTTACTAAAAACTAGTCTTGCAAATAAAATTCTGGACTTGTCATTTGTGACAAGAGTTGTGTACTGTAAGCAAGTTCCAATGCAATGCTATGTTTGCTAAAGATAACAGCAGAAGTGTTGTGCATGGTTTTGTGACTGTTGTACTATTTATTCAAATAAATAAATAAGTGATGATCCCATGATTTTCCACATCTCTTTTTTTTTCTATTTTTTTTTTTCTGCTAAGCAGACAAATCAGTGGGAAGAACCTTTGAAAGATAATGGGCTTCTTTATCAAGGGTCCTAGATACATGTGACCCATGTAGACATAGCAAAGCAGTGGTCTCAGTGTGCTGGCCTTGGTGATGTGATTTTACAGTTAGATACAAACGTGTCTGACTCATTCATCAACAGCATTTTTGTTACTGCCCTGCTTGATCATGTTGTTCATCTTCTCCCTTCCACGAGAGATAACTGAATTATGCTGTCTGATACTTTTAAAAGTCTTAGGGCCGAGTTCTTCCACAGCTGAGTAGGAGGGAAGCCAGGCACGATGGAACTTAAATTCTGTATGTCTCTGCAGAGCACCTGGGAAGCCAGGAGCCCAACAAAGTGTGGAATTACCCTGGAAATCCGTATATTTGCTCCAGTGTGAAGGGACAAAGAGCATCTCTTCTATAAAGCAAAGCCATCTGGGAAAGCAGGAAAATATATGATCAGAACTTGTTACGGGTGAGAGTACCACCAATTCCATGAATTGTTCTTCAGTGGCTGTTTTTATAAGAACTCTAGGTGCGTGTGGTTGTGTGCATGACACATGCTTTGGGAATGGATGGAAACACTCATGGGGCAAGATGCAACTCTGGCACTGAATTTACTAGTGCAGTTCTGCAGAAGACTGGATGCTTCATGCACTGCTGATATTTTGAAAGAAAAATATGCCCATCCACTGTTCGAGACTGTTCTTTGCCCTGTCTTGCACTGCATTGTGTCTGAGACTTTTAAGAAAGAAACATGAGTTGCTAGATGAAGCACGGAAAGGCCTAATAACTACAGATAAATTCCCCAAATTTCAGTTGTTCCTGCTCGCTCTGCCTGCTGACAAGAAACTGGATTTCAGAAGTGCAGCATTTCCAGCTGTCCTTTTTTTGGATTTTACTCCCTACATTTCTAGGCTGTGGCATGCACTCCTGTGTAGGTTAGAATGTACTCTTGGTCTTCTCTGAATTGATATAATGTGCTTTTTTTCTGCTTAGAGAGTATGCTAAGTTTGTACTTCGACCCCTAGATGAAAGTTCTGGAGTTAATTTCTCAGTTACTAAGAATTCATAGCACCTGGAAGTCTGTTTTCATCTCACTTTCCTTTACCCTATTTAGCTCATGCTGAACTATTAGTTCTCATCTATAGTGTGGAGCTAAACAGAGAAGTCAGTCCCTTAATAGTGTTAAAACAGACTGGCTTAATTAGTGTGGCTGTCTCCTGTCTTGTTCTGGGATTTCATGGAGGACTGCAGAGCTGTTGCTTTTTTATTCTAGAAGACTTAACAACTGTAAGCGGTACCTGAAGGTGATGTCCAGGGAAAGTGATGGCTGTGGAAAGCTTTCTCTCTTTAATCTGTGGTAAAAAAAGGGGAGGCAGAGTATCAGATCTGCCTAGCAGAGGTAACTCTTGTATCAGATGAGCATCTGGGGCACTGGTGTGACTAATTAGCTGTCCAAGGACAAATGAGCTTATTTCCTTCTGCCTTTCTACTTCTGCCAGGTAGGAAGAAAAGTGCTGATCTGCCTTACAAAATGCTCTAAGGGCCATGAGTAAGTTGTGTAATGTAGCATGATGATTTTATCTGTCACTGGATCTTTTATTAAAGGCAAAGAAAACATGCAGCGGTGTGTATTAGCAAACGAAGTGGTGCTATGAAACAATGACAGTATCTTGCTTAATACCTTCTGGCATTTCAGGAGTTGTGAGGATGCATGTTTCCTGCATTTGTATTTCTGTTTATTGCAGTCTCCAGCAGGAACTGAGCACGCAGACAATGAAGTTCCGCTTATGACTCTGGTTTCATTTTCAAGTGCTGTCAGTGCTGTGTGGTGCAGCTTCCACCACGCACAGTGTGCGCGCTTCGTGCTGCCCTGTGCAGGGGCTGCAATGGAACCAAGCCCCTGAGCAATTGCATCATGCTGCTGTGAGAAAAGCTTCTAGAGAAATACTGAAGAATTGAACAGTAATTGAACAGTAAGTTTGGGACTCTTTCAGGGGGAGTTTTGGTGGGGTTTTTTTTTCAGCTATAGGACTTCATGCTTCTTAATGCTTTCACATGGATTGTTCTTGCTGAGACAGTGTCTCTTCTGATGCTAGTGACTCTTGAAAAGTCTGATACTGAACAAGGAAGTAAAAATAAGTTTTAAACTGAGCGCACAGTGCGTGTTCTCTCTCTCTTTTTATTTATTCTGCTTTTTTGAAGGCAGAAGTGTTATCGCTAGCATTCAGAATTGGGTTTTGTTCCCTGTTTGTGTGATCTGTTTAGAAAACTGTTCCTAGGAAATGTGCTCGTGCTGATGCAGAGCAGGGCTTTTGTCTTGTTCAAACAGGAAGTTCAGTAGTTGAAACAATTTGGTAATGTCGGTAAGTGCCTGTGTGTATCCTACAGTCAGTTCAGATGTCCTCTCACCAGTGCTTTATATCATATCATATCATATCATATCATATCATATCATATCATATGTCAGGGATATCTGGGCGTCAGACTGTGAGAAGACCTGACGTGAGATGAGCTGATGTGGCTCACTAAGAGAATGAGTTGGTTTATCTGTCGTTGTTGCAACATTATGCAATAATCCAGTTCTCGGCCTACCAAAAATTCACCACGGTAGGTGGTGCAAGAGGAATACAGCAGCTGTTGCTTTTAAAGTGAACAAGGCTGTGACATCTCAGAAAAAGAGAACAAAGGACCACATAAAGCCATTTCATTTGAATAGTCAATAATTAAAGCTCAATTTTATTAAAAAATCCCACTGTGAAATGCCACTACAATCAATATTCAAACAGTTGTCTCCTGGAATGATCTCTCCTCCTAATAGTGATAAATAATTCATGCAGGAGGCCAGAGGAAAATAGCATGTCAGTAAGAGCTCTGGATAGTGAATTTGAGCGCTAGACTGCAGAGGTTATGGGAAGCCTGGAAGCTTGCAGGTGAGCAAATCTCCCATCCTTTCCGATTTCTCATTAAGCAATTAAACCCAAGGAGGAGTCCAAATCCCATTTTGTTCTGTTTCACGCTGTTTCTGCAGCAGGTTACCTTTTGAAAGGCCACTACCAAGGATCAAGCCTTGCAGCAATGAAACTTGTCACAAGAGGCTACTCAAGAGCGCTAATTATTAGTAACAAGTAATGAGTCTATTAAATGCTAAGGAGCTGCAGTTCCTAGACTCTGAAATGGCAATTGGAAATCAGTATAGGTGAATGCAAAATGAAACACATAGTGGGAAAACACAATACTGTTTCTACAGATAAGTGATGGGCTCAGAGCAGGGTGTTGGTATTTAGGAATAAGATCTTGGAGTTTTAATAGACAGTTCTGTTAAAGTGCCAGCTCAATCGGCTCAGCAGTGATCAGTAAAACAAATGATGTTAGGAATTAGGAGGAAAGGCATGCAGAATAATGCAGAGGGCACCGCCCTAAACCTGTGCAATTCTGCTTCCTAGCCATTGAAAAAGGAAAAGCGTTGGAGAAGGCTCTGAAAATCGGGGCTCAGATGATCGAAGTTACAGAATGGCATCTCTGCAAAGGATGTAGGGTGTGCTTCTTTGTGGAAAGAGATGACTGTTGAGGGTGTACTGTAGCAGCATAGTAACATAAAGATGTGAAGAAAATGAAGTAATGGCTCTCCACTTAGGTGTAGTGGGGTGCTTCAGAGGAAGTAGCCTAGGGTCAGAGCAAGCAGAAGGGAAGTGTTTCCTTATACCAGTTGGCGCTATGCTCTTCAGCTCCTCACTGTTGAATGGTGAGAGAGGCATGCATTCTTGGGCAGGCTGGGAAGTTCATGAGAACTAAGTATTTTGACAGCATCAAATTATTAGGACTCCAGTTTTGGTTTAGAAAGGGTGAGCAGCAGGGTGTTGAAGCTTGTGAGCGTGTTTTAAGGAAGTAACTTGTTAATGCTTGCTCTATTTTCTTTTCCCCTAAGCATCTGACTTTGGGTGCTGTAAGGGACCAGCAGCATCAAATGATCTCTGATATCAGGTGACAGGACATTTTGTCTCACCCAGGATCGCCATTTTACCATTCTGTCCAAGTACAACACACAAGACCTAGTCCTTGGAGTACATTACCTTTCGTTAGTGTAAATTCTTAATTTCAGACCCTTTCCTATAGGCTTCCAAATGTTAAAGGTAGCTTTCTGATGCCCGGGTTCCTTGGCCAAAGATACCAAGGATGTGGCAGGCAATATGCCTTATTTTAATGTGTAAATATTCAAAGGAAGTGTAAGGGATGTGCAAGTTGGATATTGCAGTGAAGTTGAGTTGGTAAGTTGTGGTTTACATCAATTATTACATAGGGCTTTAGAGTAGAACTTTCCAAGACAAAACAAGTGCCAGAAATCTAATTTAAGTTGGACTTAGGTTTCTCTGTATTAATTACCTCTTTCCTCCTAGTTTCCTCCTCTAGCAGTCTCATCTCAGATAGTTCAGTTGCTCCCCAGGCACTAAGTGACTCAATTTCTCCTAAGTATCTTAATTTATTATCCACCTTTCAGGTGACAACATTCAGTTTTGCAGCCATAATGACAGTTATCGCTTTGTGACTCTTCTTCCTTGATTGTCTGTTGGGTTTGTATCTAATTTGTTTGCAAGACTGATGTGCAAAAGTATTTAATTGCCACTTCCTAGCAATAATTGTGCGTTGGCAAGATCTGTGTTAAAATACATATTCATAGTGGACTTTGACTGGAATCTTTAATGAACACTGAGACAGTCTGCAAAGGAGGATTATACATTTTTGAGTGAAAAACTACCAGAGAAATGCCACTTTGGAAACTGTCTCTGGGCAGTTGTGCAATGGCATTTGCAGCAGCTCTCTTGCTCCAGGAGCAAGGAGGGCTATGAAGATTGTGAAGGGTCTGGAGGGCAAGGCGTCTGAGGAGCAGCTGAGGCCCCTTGGTGTGCTCAGCCCAGAGCAGAGGAGCTGAAGGAGGCCTGATGGTGGCTGCAGCTCCTCACCGGGAGCAGAGGGGCAGCGCTGAGCTCTGCTGTGTGACAGCGACAGGGCCGAGGGAACGGCGTGGAGCTGTCAGGGGAGGGCAGCTGGGGGTCAGGGACAGGGGCTGCAGCACAGGGTGGTTGGGCCACGGAACAAGCTGCCCAGGGCAGTGAGCATGGCACCAAGTGCCGGACTTCAAGGAGAGTTTGGGCAAAGCTTTCAGATATAGGGCTTGGATTTTGGGTAGTCCTTTGTGGAGCCAGGAGCTGGACTCTGTGATCCTTGTCAGACCCTTCCAACCTGGGATATTCCACGATTCTGTGATCTGCTGAAGTTAACTGATCTTTGGTTTAAAGAAGAGCTATCCTTTTTGTACAAACTTTTAAAAGAGGCTGCTCAAGTTCTAGTACTATTCCTTGCTTTACTCTCTGCCACGTTAAAACATCCTGGTTTTCTTAGTCTTGTGGACTTGGCCGATCAACCTTTACATAAACACACAGACTGCAAAAGCAAGCACTTGGAACTTTTCCTACCACTTAAGCATCCTGTAGAGCCTAGTTCTGTCTTTCGTATTTTGTAGGCAACATGGAACAGATTTACGTATGCGTGGTTAAAAAACCAGACTTGTCTTTGCTTGTACTGTGGTTTAATTCAAGAACACTAGGGGACATCTTTGCCAGACCCTTCTTCATAGGTCGTGGCTGGTATCAGGGTGAACTTCAGTTTGGTACGACAGATGAGTGTTATACAGCCTCCCCACCCTACTCCCACAGCTCCATTCTTTGGCTCCTGCTGTCCTCTGTGCAGCTCCTAGCCATTTTAGAAAAGCCTGCCTCTAGTATTGTTTGTTGACAGGCTATTTGCATCTCTGTGTTGTGTGTATTGCTGTTCTGCTTTCATTCAAAGATGGCTAGGCTGCAAAGGGAAGTCATTCTCCAGTCTGTGTTTAAGGTACAAATTGTTGAGAAGCTGTGCAACTTAATTTAACATCAAGTTGAGGTTGCATACCCAGAAGGAAGCTGCTTTTTTTTACACAACTGTACCAGATGGTCTAGTAAAGGAAACTGCTTGTATCTGTAAGCTCATGTCTAATTTAACTACTGCATTCTTGATTTAATAGTTCTTAAGTATTGATCATTTTTATATGTATTGGTATCTAGAAGCCAAAAGCTTTTTTTTAATGGATATTGAAAAATGATTTTACTAATTGATTCAGATGAAAAAATTGGTTGGAATTAAGGCAAATTTTTGTGCTTAAGGGCTTCCTTCCCTACATTCTGATTATTAACAGAAAAAATGAAGCTTCTTTTTAACTTTACATTTTTTTATACGCATTTAAATATTATTTTCAGATTGTTTTTAGAAGTAATTCACAGGTCATTAAATAATAACTAAAAAAAAAAGCCCTTTCACTTGTTTTCTTCCTAACAGTTATTTTCTTCTATTCATGCCTTCTTTACTTATGTTTCCTTTTACTCTGTATCTTTTATCAGGTAACCAGGACTGAAAAAATACAATGGATGCAGACTTCTTAAATGCCTTTACACAGCCTGCTGCTCTTAATAAATTCCTCGTTGAGAATGTCATCACTCCAGGTACGTACTTCGTAAACCAAGACAGAAAAAGGTCTAAGGAATGACGTGAAGAAACAAGCAGAAAAATTGTAGTACGAATGAATGGTGTATTTATCAACAGTAGTCTCCTGGCTTCATCGGCAGCAAGTAAATGCTGTGCTGTGCATGTAGTTTGGCCTCTGACTCTCTTGAAGCAGATAATGAAGAAGCAACACAAGTCCTAGCTGATTCTTTAACTGAAATTGAAATTTCATACATAAAGGTCTGCCTAACTTTTGTTTGTTTCCAGGATTGTCCCTCTAGATTTATTGATTTGAATTATGTTGGAATATAACTTCTGACAGCAGTCTTTAATGTTTTGATAAGTCATTTTCTTCCTTATGGGGAATCAATTGAAATAAAAAGTGGCAATTTCTACATATGTCAGTTAGTGATACTGCAGATTTTATGGAAAACTTGCACGAGTCGTATCTGATAATTGTAATTGATCTTGTTTCTTTCCTTCATAGGAGAGAAGAGGAAACTCATAAAACCCACCTCAAGCAACAATCCCAAACTGGAGGAATTAAAACTGGTACAATTTCTTTTACTATAGTGTTTAACTCTTACCTGAGATGTAAGACATCTCAGGTATGTACCCTGTATGTACCCTGCCACATGGCTGCTCAGTCATGTAAATTACTCAGCTCCTTGGCCCCAGACCCTCACTCTGTAAGGGCATGGGCATGTTCTGATGCTGGCATTCGGGCTTTATCAAGTTCTAAGCTTTATGTGCTGACACCCCACAGAGTGGTCTCTGTTGTGTGTAAAGTGGAGAGCGGGTTTAAAATCTGGGATTCTTCTTACATGATTTCTCACATAACTCGGGACATGTGTATGAAGTAGCCGGGTGGTACTCGGCTGTAGCAATAGTGTAATGGCAATAAGAATCCATCCAGGACAGCCAGCTGTGATTGAAAGGAAATCTGTGTCAACACTTGTTATGACTAACAGGAGACGTTCAAGTACATTGAAGTTGGTTCTCCTGATCCTATGATAACAGGCTGTGGAATTGCTGTGGTGATGGTCAGCAGTTTTCTCTTGTCCTTTGCCTTACGTCTGCAGATCACTGAAGGCTGCAAGCTTGGCGCAAGCTAAGGTGCAGCCTTATGGGTTAATAAATAACAGAATAAGGAGGAGTGAGGATGTGCAAGTCACCAGTGAAATTGAAGAGAAAAGCCCTCAAGCTGTTGTGCAGTTCATTGTCTGCTTGAGGTGGCTGTGACGGATGAATCCTATTTCACGGGAAAGTGCTTTATTTCCAAGTAATTTTGAAAATTCCCCCTGTGCTTTCAATCACTGTGTTTTTCTAGTGGCATAGCCCAGGGGAAGGCTAGCATACTGAAATTTCCTGCAAGAAAAGTGGTGTGTCTCTTTTGAGACTGGCACTTCTTGCATTATGGAGATACTAAAAGTGTTAGAAATATTACAATAACAAGCTTAGGCTTTGTGCTGTTGTGTGTGTTATATGGCATTAATAAATTCTTAAAATATGTGTGCTTCTTTATTATGTTTTCTTAAACCTTCATGCACATTTGATAAAAAATATTTAATTTCTATGTCGGGCTTTCACAATGTTTTTATATGAAAGAGGAAATCTTGAAAGGTGATGCTGCGAAATGCAATTATGTTGTCTACAGAGACATTGCATTTGTTCTTTCCAGACTGCCAAAAATAAAGAGATTCCTTATTATATGGAGATTTCTGTGAGCTCCAGTGCTTGATTCTTTTCCTCTCAGAAACTCCTGAAAGAATGTTTGTCGCTGTCTGTCTTCTCTGTGGAAGATGGTGAGGTGGAAATGCAGACCCAAAGGAGGGCATCCTCCATGTGCCATCACTGCTACTGCTTGCCCTCTTGATCTAAAGTGTTTGTGGCTCTTTCGGAGAAGAGCTTGGGATGCAGAGGGGGAGCTGTGGAGATCCTTATTTAACTTGGAAAAAGACAGTCTTGCATTACGTTTTTGTCCTGAAGCTGGGAGCTAAGAAGTGTGAAATGGCTTGCTGTAGTTACTGTAAATATTGAAGAATGTGTAAAAATGAAGATGGTTGCTTTAGAAGCCAGTAGCAAACATCTTTAGGTACTCCTTTTCTCTTTTCTCAATTTATTCATTTTTATACACTGCTCTGCAGCTGAATGGGACCCCAGTAACAGGACTTGAAAGAGTAGTCTGAGCTGCAGGCTGCGGTCGTGGTTGTGAAGAGCTGAGATACCCAACGAGGAGTCTCATAAATCTATGCTTAGCAGTACTTTCTGCTTTTTGGTCTTGCCTGTAGCATGACATTTGGTGTACACGTCTAGCCCTTGCCCACCTAGACATCACCAGGTCTTAGGCTGCAGGAGCAGAGCTTTCTGCTCTAGATAACACCAGTTACTTTGTTGTTGAGGAAGTGTGCTTACACATGCTTTGTCAGCTCCTCAGTTCAGGAAAGTGCCCAAGTTGGGCATTTTTTTCTCATGCAATTTCAAGCATCCCAGAGGTCATTATTTCTATTTTTATAAACTGTTTCTTATATTTTTGTTACTGCTGGCTAACTTACAGGGACCTGCTATGAATTATCTCTTATATTTACATCAAACGAGAAGGAGATCACCCATACAACATACTCCAAGTACTCACTTGCAGCAGTAAAAATAGCAATATGAGCAATACGTGTCCTTTTTCAGGAGATTCTTATTGGTAACCAGCTGGGACTGCTGCTTTTTAGTTCTACTTCAGCCAGTCATCTTGCCTTTGTATTAGCATATGTGACTAAATAAGGAATGGAGAAATGCTGAGGAGCTCCTCTGGTGTCGTGCATGCAGGATATGACCCACAGAATGAGAGAAAGCTTTCACAAACTTTTGTCTGTATGAATTCTCTGATGTCCAATAAAGGCAGGGATTGGAGGTCTACTGTACTGCCTTCTCCCTAATGGAAGTGGCAATAGGATCTGCCTTCTTCCCTGTGAAGCTAATTCTACAAAATTCATGAGAATATAACTTGGGAGGTACCTGTCTCACTTAAAACTTTGCCCAGACGTGGCTAATGAGCCTTGTATTATTAGGAAGAACCAATTGACACTTAACTTCCAGTTTCTTTAAAAAATAACCAAGAAGGAAAAAGGAAGTAGAGGTTGAAAGCAAAATGAAACATGAAATAAGACTAAAGAAAGAGGTAAAGCATGGCATAGCACTGAGTACTTGTCCAAACAAAAATATAATTGTCAGTTGTTTCGTTTCCCTCCACAGCTGCTGATTGACTGGATTAACACGACTCTGAAAGAGGAGCACATAGTAGTGAAAAGTTTGGAAGAAGATCTGTATGATGGGCTGGTACTTCATCATCTCTTGGGTAAGCTGCTTCTGAGTTAAGCTTGCAAATAAGTAACAGAAAACCTTTACAAAGGTAGGATAAACATACTCTTGAACAGAAAGTGCTGTGGGTAAGTTGTGATAAAGGCAACTCTGAATGGATGCCTGGTGATCCACTGTTGTTTTATACAAATATTGTCTTCTCAGAAAGTCTTTAGCATCAGCCAAGAGCACAAAGGCAAATTATGATGCTACCAGAAATATCAAATGGGATCAGCACAATGATTTGTATATTTTCCAGCTTTTTTGTTTTGTTTTGTTTTTAAGTTTCAGGTCTAATACTCTGAATTGATGAATATCAATTTATTAAAGATGTGATCTCTTGGAACAGCCTCTGGGTCCATTTGTTTCTTCATTTTCCCTGTCCCTGCTTTGTTTTTCATTTTTTGGGCACTCCTTTCAAATCCCATCTCCTTTTCCTCAAAGTTGAAGACAGCAGAGTGAGTAGGATTAGCTTATTTTCATAGATTGTTTGTCTGAGCAATGAGCTGGTATTTCTTCTTTATGTGTGAGTTGGTATGGCCTTTGTGCAGTACCTACAGGAAGGATTAATGTGTTGAATTCTTGTATGTTCCCCTAGGAAAAGGAGTGATGTGGAGTGCTGGGGATGGAGATGCTGCTGTAAGGAATGGGCTGACCTTCAGAGTTTTACTGTGTTTACTTGAGGCTGTCAGAGAGAGTGGGAGTTTGATAAGGCATATGCTGTGGACGGGCTGTGGGTCTGAGGTGTGGAAGCTGCTAAATAGTACTGGGCATTGAAAACAAGACTTTGTGTGCTTTGCTGTGATTTTATATTGATTTTTATTTTTATTTTTTCCTCTCTGTGATGGTGTTAAATGCATCCATCTTCTTTATGTGGGCTCTCTGTCAAAGAAAATCTAGGATCTCTCAAGCTGGATGTTGACAAGATAGCATTAACAGAAAAAAAACAGCGTCAGAAACTCTCTGTGATTCTGGAAGCTGTGGCTAAGTGTTTGCAACTGGAAGAAAGTCAGTTGAAATGGAGTGTGGAAGGTAGGTGCAGCTGTGAAACAGGACAAAATCAACCATCCCGAGGCTTCCTCTGCTGTAAGACTGCTGTGAAGCAGTGGAGTGCCAGAACAGTAATTAAATGACCTGTTTGCAATTATTAGTTGAACCACAAGTGAGACAAGAATATCTAGCCCCCGACTAAGTGCAGCTGTGTCCTCCAGATATGTAGTTTATCAGCCTTTAGCATCCATGTGAATGTCTCACAAAAAGGACTTTCAAGACGTGTTATTGCTGAATTGTGATGTGATATAAACCTCAACTTGATGTCCCATCTGTGTTACTGTGACTTTGGGATGCTCTGTCCAGGAAGAACTTAGGATATTACAGTGAGGTTTAATTGTTCTGCACAATAAACTTTGTATTCTTTCTTTACATGGTACAGCGATTTTAGCAAAGGATTTACTGAGCACACTGCATCTTCTGGTCGCAATAGCAAAGCACTTCCAACCCAGTCTGGCTTTTCCTCCAAATGTTCATGTGGAAACAATCACTATTGAGGTATTTATGGCTTCAGTATTTGTCACTGAGTATCCTAAAAACATTTCACAAGACTTAGTTTTATTTATAATTGAGGAGAAATGTGTGTGCAACAGTAAATGGGAGACTTATTTTCTGTGAACTGTATCTTTCAATTTAATGACTAGACCATAATTTTTGAGCTTAGTTCAGGTGCTGTAACTTTAAAAGGATAGAAACACTATGTTACTTTTTCTCTTTGATCAAAAAAAGGAATGGTCCAATCTGAAAGCAGCTATTGGTATAAGTAAAGAAGCAAAAGAAGAAATTCTGTTCCTGCTGTCTCTAAATGCTTTAAATTAGAAGCCTGTGCTTATTGAACATGACATTAGTTTCTTTCTAGGGGGAGTCTGTCCATTGGTTTCACATTTGGATATTTTTCTCTATGAGCTGAGATTTGCATGCTTTCTTTCTCCACTGTGTTTCTTTAAGTCAGCTCTGGAACTTCAGGAGAATATTCAGAAGCCCACGGTTTGAGATACAGTTGCAAAAATCAGCACCGCTACATCACAGTTTCAACAGTACAGTTGCCATTCTGTTGTGTTTTGAGCCCTGCACCCTGTATGGCATTACCTAGAGTTTTCACTCTTTGAAGGATGGTAACTGGAACTGGGACCATACGTACGCTTAAAGTACATTTTTCATGTCTGGAGGATTCAAAGTGTCAGGGAGGGACAGCCTCTTTAGGGGCCGTGTCCCAGCCTAGCACTCAGGAACATGTAGACTCTTTGATTTCTTAGAATTACTCTAATTACTTGTCCCTCTGCAGAGCTCAGATGCTCCTGTCATGTGAATCCTTCCCACCAGTGGAAAGTCAGACTCTTTATAAAGCAGTCCTCCCACTAGTGCCCTGTGTGGCTGCAAGTGCCTCAGTGCACAGAAATCAGGAGGGATTATCTATAAAACCACCGCATCAGAAATGAACATTAGCCCTGAGAGAGGGGGGGCCGTGGTAATGGAGATGGTGGGGTTTTGGTGGTGAGCTGTTTCTTCACAAGAGAAATTAATGCTCCTGAAGGGAACAGGTCATTCTTGGTTGAAGAGAGCAGAAAGGAGCAGCAACCTCTCAAAGTGCCTGTACTAATTGTGCTGGGCTTCTTGATCAGTGCTCTCTGGTAGTCATTTAAGGCAGCAGACAGTTCGTGAAAGTGTCACTAATGCTTTCAGATTTTTTTTGCATAGCAAAACCAAAAATACATATTTTCTGTTTAACAGAACACCTCCAAAGGATTAAAGACAGCAAATGGGGTGGAATATATCACAGGAAGCAAGTAAGAGGGGATATATTTGGTTTGTACACTGTCAATCAGAAAAGAAATATTGTGGGTGTTTTTCCCCTTAGAAACAAAAACTATCTGATATTATGATGATGACAAAAATCATAAAACCAGGCATGCATATGCATGTTCTACTTTTTATTTAAATTTCTCTAAAATAATGTATACGAGTATTTATGAGGTTGTTATTGCCATGGAATATTGCAATAAAAATAGTAATAAACATCCAGTACTCTAAATTCACTGTAAAATAAACAGGAAATTTTATAAAGCCACAGTGGTTTATATCTACTATTCATTTATTTCTATTGTGTCCATAAATTAAGAAAATGGAGGCAGGTTTTTGCTTATTCTGGTTTGATGAAGTAAGGTTTGGGCTTACTGAGTTTGTGAGGTGCTGTGGTTATTAAAGATCTGGCAGGATATCATTTTTACACCAAGAAAATATGGCCATCATTCCAAGAACCAGAAACAGACTTTCCTACTGTCATCTTTTATATGCTAGAACACCTTCAAATTCTAATTTCATGAGCAGCTTATTGCGAGAGGTTATTATGGGTTGTGTTTATAAAATAAATGTTCATTGGTCTGTGGGCCAGTTAAATTTTCATGTTTCCAAGTATCTACACGGAGATACAGTGTGCTTAAAAGTGTCTCTTGAAAAGTTACTCTGACATAAAGTTAATGGCACTTTGTACTGTATCTCCTGCTTTACAAGGTGCCTGATGGCCCAGATAAGCTTTGCTTATGAATAAGATTAGTTCTGTTGAATGCTTTTTCTAATTCTTTCTTTTTTATTGCACCTCCAGAGAGAATTCAGAAGAGCAGTCAAGTAAGTACTGGCTTTGCCAAATCCAGCACTTCTCCATTAAGTATTATTATGCCCCAAAGTGGGATCGATTTTTACCGTGTGATAAAATCATTATGTTTCCACTAGAATTAGTGGAGACTCATTGATTTCTCCTAGCATTTTTCTGCAAATGTCTTCTCTTAAAGTCTGTATATTCAGCACAATATGGCTTGGAAGCTGGATAGTCCCTTTGCCTGTGGGCTGCAGGTGGGAGGTGAGACAGGGAATGATGCAGTGAACTGATGACCCAGCAGAGAAGCCCTGGCTGGGGACAAAATATGCCTTGAACTAAAAGAAATAATTAGTCTGTGCTGATCTCATTCTCTCTGTTGGAACTACTTATGAACACAGTGCCATGAGAATTGTGTTTCTTCTTGCCTCAGTAGTTGCAATGTCATTTCCTTTCTGCAGTTTTCAGATAGGATTCTGAAATCTGGTGCTTAGTTATGGATAGCAGCTCACTAAAGCAAGCAGCCTCCTTGGAGATTTTACCTTTAGGGCCTTTCAGGGCTATGAAACACTTGAGGTGAAAATTGTCCATGTGTGCAGAGCCCACAGAATGTCTTGGTACTGCCCAAGCTTTAGCTAGAGGCTTTTGGCTAGCACACCATGAGCTGCTCCTTGCTGCTAAGGAGCATTATTCATCCCTGGTGAATGAGTGCAACTGTTTTAGTTCTCTGCTGCGCCCTTTGTATTAGCATTTCGTACTTTGCAGAGGTGCAAACTGTATCATTTAATATGTGTTTATCACTTATTCCCCTGACTGGCCTCTAGCGTGGGCTGAAATAGTGAAAAATACTATAATTGAGTATTTCTTCCAAAGGATTGATTCTGCTGGAAAAAGAAATCTGAAATTCACTCTTCAGAATGCTGTCTCCATCTATTTTTAACACGGCTTGCTTAACAAAGGCTGAAAGGAGTCTCATAGCACAGCTCCAGAAGAGGGCTCTCTCGTTTCTGAGACTGCTGCAGGTTGCAGACTGGCTCTGAGATGTGATGGGATCCATTCACCTGCTTCCCAGCAGGGAGGGAGGGCAAACCAGCTAAGCTCCTTCACTGCAGAGGCTTCCTTGCTGCTGACTTTCTGGAGGAACCTTTCTTAAGCAGAGTTGCATTTGCCTACCTGCACCCTAGAAATGTATTCCTCATTTGGTTTTGCTGCCAGTACTGGTGCAGTATAAATCTTGAGAACATCTGCAGGTAACAATTACAGAGCTGAATGAATTAAATTTGGTATAATCAGGCTAAAGAGAAGCCTCTACCTCTGTCCTGTGTTAAATCCAAAAGCAGGATTTTTTCCATTCTCCCTAAAGCATTTTTCCTCCCTGGTTTATAAGGTGTGATTGCCTTTCTCCTTCTCAAGCCATCTTAAACCTGTGATCTGACAGTTTATTCCATACAGTATCAATTAATGTTGTTTTGATACAGCAGATGATGCCTTTGATGAATTATTTAGCCGTGCTCCTGAAAGACTGGATGATGTAAAAAAGGTAATTTATTTATTTATTCCTTAACAGAATCAAAATATATTAGGTGAAACGTAATTCATGACCACTGAAAAAAGTGTTCTTTTATTCCTCTCCTGTTTTCCATAGGTGTTTTTGCAGTTTGTCAACCAGCATGTTGGAAATTTGGGATTAAATGTGAAAGACATGGAATCTCAGGTAGCCTGCACTGAACTGAACCTTATCATTTCCTGTCATTTATTTGAGTGTTTCACCATTAGGATCCCTCTTTTTTGTTGTATCAGTTTTAAACTTGTCAACATAACGATTATATTTAGCTTTGGGTTAAGATATCAGGCTTCAGTCTCTGAAATTTGAGAAACTTCTAAGAATTGGAAAAATACAGCATTGTACTGAATACTGTACGTTCCTTGTAATGCTACAGGGAGTCATTTTCAGAGTTGACTGAACTCCCATCTTTCTGAAGTAAGGCTGATTTCTGAGAATTACACTGATAGGTTGGTTGCTGGTGTTTAGTGATCTTTAATGCAGGGTTTGCTGCAGGGTAGGAAGGCTTGATTTTCATTAAATGGCAGAGCTCCATCCTTTGAACATCGAGCTTCCTTAGAGTCTGTCAAATTGCAGAAGTACTTGCTGGGCAGCCCAGGATCAACTCCCACGCACAGGAAAGAGAGGCTCCATCACACCTCCACTGTTCTTGGGGATGGAGCAAGGGATGGGGGGAGGTCTCAGGGGTGTCTCTGATCCTTTTTTCTTTGCTTCTCTGGACACATACACTATAGCAGCAGGAGAAATCAGCCTGTGAGAAGGGAAGTTCTGGGAGGCTTTTGTTGTAAATCTCAGGCACTGCGCACAAGTGTATTCATGTGTTTGTCACTTGTGGCTATCTGAAGTCTCGTCACATCTGGAACAGTTTGTTTTAATAGCAATCCTTTCACGAGGTTGTATTTTTTTTTAATATGAGCTTAGGAGCCTTATGTAAGTATGCACGAAGCGTGCTGTCTGAGAGGTCGAGGAGGATGAGTCACTGGGCTGTCTGGTTGCCAGAGTACCGTTGCAATTCTCTTATCACTGGAGTGGTGTTTATCTTTGGAATTTACTAAAAGCCCACATAATAAATAATATTCAAATCATTCCTCTTCCAGTTTGCAGATGGAGTTATTTTACTTCTGTTAATTGGACAACTAGAAGGTTATTTTCTGAATTTAAGGGATTTCTTTCTGACTCCAGCTAGCACCACAGAGATGGTAAGTTGTTATTTAATCACTTAGAACCCGAAGCTTCAAACATCTTGTGTATTTATTGCTTCCATATGTCGGAAGAGCTCCGTGTCTTGCTGTAACTGCTGCTGCAGTATAAAACCATATACACGCACGGTGTTTGCTGATGATGCTTTGGGACAGTACAAACGCAGGTACTAGGTGCTATTCAAATACTTTGGGACATATCTTCATCAAAAATCTATTGTCTTATGTGATGTGAGCTATTGTTAATTGCATTTATTTATGCAGATGCATTCTTCTGAAGCCTTCCAGTTAAAATCAGAGTCTCTCTGCAGCAAGGAATTGGTGTGCTATCCTCCTACTAGTCTGTCCTACAAATGACATTGTTAAACGGATGACATATCTTGCATAACAGAATTGGATTCATATAGCTTTCCTTATGTCATCCTAAAAATATACCGTAATTGAGACATGACCAGAACATTTTGAAAGCCCCTTCTGTACTTTAGAAGCTCTTGAGAATATACCTCCCTTCTTCCTGGCTCCTTTCTCAACCTCTACCAGGCAGGTTTTATCAGAACTTCCTAAGAAAATAGTAGTATCAGCCAGAAGGCAGTGCATGCTGGGTTGCTGGTGTGAATGCCCCAGCCACACATCCAGGATTCTGAAATGTTTTGAGGCATCTGAGATCTTTTCAAATTGTTTCTGATGTTGCTAAGGTCTTAGGTGTTTCTGATGTGGCTCAGGTGCTGACGCTGGTGGGTCATGCACACTTCCAGGAAGCTGACCATGAAAACGGTTATTTACGTTGATGATTTTGTATACGCGCATGCCTTCGCACCGTAAAATCAAAAAAACTTTTTTCATTTGGGTCAACGAATGGCTCAGAAAATCACAGAATTACAGAATGGCCTAGGCTGAAAAGCACCACAATGATCATCTAGTTGAAACCCTGGATGTTTTTCCTGGGTTGTATTCGTTTCAGGTCTCTGAAGATGAAATGTTTCATATCCTTTGTGCTCTAGAGATATCTGAGAAGGGAATCTCTCCTCTGATGTGATTTGCATTCAGGGTTTCCCACATGAATGTCGATTCCCAGTCTCACTGCAGCTCATCTCCCCAGGCACTATTTATCTGTGATGAAAATTCTCAGAGATCCCTTCTTCAATAATAAATACTTCTGTGGAGATCATCAAAGCATTTAAAAGTACAGCTGTCTGAGATGTAGGTTCAGATTTTTTCAAAATTGGTTGACTGTTAAAGGCATTAGGAAAATTCAGATTTTATATCTAAGATGATGGGAAACAGATTTTGAAAAGTTAAATAAAATCAAAGCTTAAAATCTTTCCCTTTCTCCTCCTCTACTCAGTTTTTGAAACTGTGTGCTCTGGTCCACTGAATTAGGAACAAACTTTCAACGTTTTTCTTCCTTCAGAAGAAGTCAATGAATATTTTTGCATTTAAGATTTTGTAGATAATATTTTCCTTTTTGTATTAGCCCTGTTCCGACTTGCACGGATCTCAAGAAATGAGATGCCTTTACTACATTTTAGGTACAAACCGAGCTTAGAATACCTAGTTCTTACCCTGCTTCCAATGGTCACTAGCACCAGATGAGGTTATAATGGGACTACACACTGGTTCAATTCAGTACTATACATTCCAGCAATTTCATTTTAGCAAAATTATTTTCAAGAGCTGTATTTTCTGTTGAATACTTTGCCAAAGTGCTATTTACTATTATTCTTGTCTGATGTTTATTACAAGAAAGAAAGCAAGATGACAGTACAACTAAAAATATTGAACTACCATGGTTCAGCTGTCATTTGAACATAAAATGTCTTTCAATCCCCATGTGCTGTCTTACTCCCTGCCATTTTAGACGTTAATTGGTACAGTAAAGTATGAAAATATAACCTTTGCTGATATTTAAAACATGTCATTCATGTAATAAAAGTGTGACAACCACACGCACCACTGAGATCAGTGCAGTGTACCAACTTGCTCTCAAGCTGGAAGCTTGTAGTTCCAAACTGATAAGTGCGCCTCGTGAGTCACAAGGAGGGGAAACTGGAATGAAAGCTGTGATACCAAGAAGGAAAATAGAAACAAAAACTAAAGGAGATAGGGAGGATGGGAGTTCATGTTGCAGGGGCAGGAGAGCTGAACAAAGTGGGGATGACATCCTGGAGGTGACTGGCCTGCAGGTGCAGCAAGTCTGTGCTCCAAGTGAGTTACTTTTGTTCTGGGTGTCTCTTACAAACAGCAAGGCTTATAAGCAGCTGTAAATCAGGTCTGGTTCTGGGTGCTCATGTCTATAGGAAATCATATATCATAAGACAAGGGATAGAATTATGAAATTATCAGGCTGGAATGAAGGGTGAACTTTGTGTGGCCAGGTGATAAGGCCTGGGAAGGCTCCTGTGCTTATCACAACTGTGCAGACTTGGTATTTTTTTGTCAAACCAGTCCCAAAGCTGAAATATCCCAAGCATTCTGATTGCTGTCAGATTGTAAATCCTAGAGAATTTGCCATCTCTTTTGAGTTTGGAAGTGCAGCTGGAAGGAACAACTTACTTTTCTAGGTTGCCTTTCTTAGGTAATTATCAGTATTTCTGTCTGAAGATTTACACTGAAATCTGCAAGTTTCTTTTCCTTGCAAATCTCATGTGCTTTAGGGAGGAAAATGAGATCCTTTCACCTGTGCTGATTCAATAAGAAAACATTTGATTTATTCATTCTGATCAGAAAAATTGTGTAGATTGGTATGAACTTAAGCTCCCCTGTCTGCTGAACATGAGAGGAAGAAAACAAGCTCAAATTTTGTCAATCTCGGTTACTTGTTGTAAATCACAGAACCGGGTAAAACATAAATCTATCGCTTCATTTCAGAGCACACGGTTTTTGCTTGGCTTATGCATGTGGGACCCCAGTGCTTTTTGTCAGAAGATAATAGGGAATAGCATGGCAGCATTTAATGTTGTACCTCCTGAAGGATAAATTGCTCAGTAGCCTAAGGAACATACAAAGAAAATTTGAAGTTCTTATAGGCCTTGTTACATCATTAGAGGAAGAGAGCCTGCTAATTACCGTGCAAGTAAATAGCTGCCCTTAAGCTGTAAGGAGCTAGTAAATTGAATGTTATATTATGTTGAAATATCATTCATCATTACTGCACATGCCTGTGGTGCAACTTTCATGTGGGAAAGAGAGAAAAACAAGTGAGGAAAAACTGGGAAAAGCAGCCCAGCCTTTATTCATAGAGGTATGCTTAATTTCTCAGGAGTAACATTAAGGGATATCATCACTACTATTACATGCATATACGTCTTTATAAGTTAAAGCATAAACCTCACAAATATAGCTGATCAGAAGATTTCCAATCTTGGTAATACTAAATGAAATACAGACAACTTTTGACTTGCGTACTTTTTTGCTCCAAATATGGTAAGCATATGGGCACTGTTTAAAAAAAAAAAAAAAAGTAGAAATAAATTCAGTGCATTTGTTAGATCCAGTTGTGAATCTACTCTGCTTTCCCTGTGGAAACATCCATTAACAGAAGACTTTCTCATGCAAGGTCTATTTTTAAATAAATGGATTGTTATTCCCACCCCATGGGTGGGATGCATATTGCTGGAGATGGGTTGCGCATCTGGTTTTGTATGATAAATGGTAGAAATTCTGAAGAGCACTCCATCAAAAGTAAAGAGATGAATATTAGTGTGTATTTATGAATCACTATCTTATTCCAGCTACTACAGAAATACTTCTAAAACCATGCTGGTTGTTATGCTGTTAGATGGACAGTATTTTCAGTTACACTAATATCTTTCTCTTGTCAACAGCTTCACAATGTTAACCTTGCATTGGACTTGCTAACGGATGGAGGTCTTCTCAATTTTTCTGTGAACTCTGAAGGTAAGTCATGGCACACAGAATTGTCTGGAGTAGCTCTACTAACATCCTGGCTAGCAAAACAGGGTAATTGAAGAAAGTAGCTTCTGCAATGTGACACCCATGCATTTCATTATATGAATGACCCATAGTTCCTTGTTCAGAATGAATAATAATAAAGCTGAACATTGTTTTGATTTTTTTGGAATTTATTTCTGTGCTAAAGATGTTACAGTATTACAGATATATCAATTACACTGAATTTAAACTGTTTAATAAGTCAGTGATTGTCACTGATTTAGAAGAGTGGCAGTTCTTATTGAGAGTACAGCAGCTGAGCTGGAGGGAAAGCCATCTTCCTATTTCATAAGAAGCTTAGGTGATACAAAACCAAACTTGTTTTATATGAGAAGGCACCTTTCAGAACATGTACTGAGAATCAGAAAGAATGATTTTTTTATCCAAATCCAGAGTGGCTGGTGGGTCAATCACCTGAATATGACATTTATAGGTCTTGGTTGTTGCTCTGCCTACTTCAGACCTTCAAGTTGAGTCTTGATCTCCATCATTCAAGTGAATGCTTATATTGCTGAGTCAGTGCTTTGTGTCTGATTTTACTGGGATGTATGTTCCTGTTCCTCTCTCACCTTGCCAAAAAAATTCCCTTGACTGAGTCCAGCTTTCTAACTAAAAAATTGCCCAACAGAACATTTTTGACCAGCTGCTCATCCATGTGCAACGGGGATGTGGGATGCAGCTGCATTAATGAGTTCTCAAATAGCACAAGAGAGGGCTGTGTCTGCTCAGGCTGACTTCTTGCAGAGGACAAGGCATGCAACCTCAGCCTGTCATTGCTCCCACAAGCTCAAAATATTGTTACTGAGTAAGAAAATCAAGTGTTTGTTAAAAATAAAAAGAATTACCTCTTCCATTGTTAGTTGTTCATCAACAAGTCTATGTCTGTATTTAGTATGGAACCTAGTGCATCAAGGAGAGAGAATGACAGAATATAGGACTTCCTCTGTTTTCATTTTTGTTTTCTTTTTCCTCTAACACTTCAGTGATTCTGAAAGTTTGCGTGATGAGCATGTATGAACTGTGGGCCTTTTGCCATATGGCATAGAGCTATGAGTTTAGAAAGCTATTTATATTAAATATGAAACAAGTAACTGGCATGAGCTCAGATCTCCATGCTGGGATCAACTTTTTATATGAAAAGAGTTAAAGCCTTGCTTTTTTCTTTCCTCTGACTATTCTCTACTGCCTCAAATACATATTTAATAATTAAAAAAAACATTGGAGCTAACGTCCACAGATCCTTAGCTTCATGGGGAAAATCGTCAGTTAGTAATTGATTTTAATATGATTTAGGGGTACTACAGATGTACACTTACTGTTCGAGGATCACATCTATTGGTGTTTCATTGTTTCTTCTGATGATTTACAACAATAACAGAAGAACAGCAAACCTTCTCTATTAGCTACAATCTTCCGTTGCAATTATTAAACACGACAGAAGGTTGCATAACAAGAAAGTGGAAGCTGAGAACTAAAATCAAAAAAGGAAACAACCAACAGCAGGAGAACATGATAGGAACATGACAAAAAAATAGTATCAGGCAATTCCCAGTATGATTCATACCATAGAAAAATCAAAAACAATGAAAGGTGTATGAAAAATGAAAGGTGCAAAGTCCTATTAAATTATCTTCTTTGTTCTATCAGGGAACAAGAGATAAGAATTATTTCTTGCTATACATTATTTATCCTGTCTTCCAGCAAGATAGTGCAGCAAAGGTTCTTTTTTCTTATGTTCATTTAATGAATAAATATTTTTCTGAATTTGTGGTTCCTGTTTTGCTTCTTGTTGTAGTTAAACTATGTAAGTTTACGTTATAATCGGAGAAAGTTGGAAGATTGGCTTTGGCAGTGGTGGAATCCTCTAGTCCTCCAATTAGAATTGCTAACTCTTCCCATCTGGTTGTGTTCCTTCTTGTGTATCCACAGATATTGTGAAAGGAGATCTGAAGACTACAATGAGGGTTCTGTATTGCTTGTATTCCAAATACAAGGCTAAAGAAACATGAAGAGCAAGGCCTAGAGCTTAGATTGCCTCTTTTTCTTCTTTTTCCACCTCTTTCCTTTTCTTCTTTTTTTTTTGTGCCAGCATGTCATGGTCTGGTTTTTGGATTCCCAGCTCTGTTTGCCACTGTGTATGTGCATGCACTTGTGTGTGACACTTGCTGTATCAACACTGCATATGCGAGTATGTATTTGTGCAAAGTTTCACATAGATCGCCTGAGTAACTGGAAGTATGTGCATGTCCAGGGCCAGTGAATTGTGTAATTCTGTGACTGGAGCAACAGTTTGTTCCAACTGAGATCTCTGATGCTGCAAGGAAGTGTAACGTGTGCTTGTGTGAGACTCCAGATTCTTTGCTCCCGGAGACGAACATGGAAGGTGTTATTGCAACCTCCCCGCTTTTTTGCTTCTTGTTTACTCTGAAGAGGGAGAAGGCCCACCATAGCATCTCTGGGAAGGTTACAGATACTATAGAAATTCAGTTTACACAAGTGGTCACCTGTTGTCAGATGGAGCATTTGTACCGGACACCAGAAGAATAAGTAGTCAAAATGAAGTTGGCATTTACCATAGAATTTGATGAAAGTTTCATCACTTGCCTTCTCTGGAAAAGGGACCAAGGATTACATGCTGCCATGAGACTGCAGTAACCAAAGGGATCTCCTGCATAGCTATGGAAGAATGCCATGGTTTCCTTGACAAGTTAATGCCAAATTGGACAGCTCCAGCCTGTTGCAGCCCTAATGTAATGTGTTACTGGTGGGAATGCTGATTGCCACACCGGGCACTTTACAGAAGAGATTGATGTGACTGCATTTCCCTCCAGACAGAGGTGGTAGATGCTGGTCAATTCTGCAGCTGGTAGAAGTAGAGGCCATCATGGATGTGTGGAACAAAACTCTCAGTTTCTGCCACTTCCAACAGCATATGCATGCTGGGAGCTTTCAAACTCCCCTGGGACCCTCTTAGCAGTGTTTGTCTGACAACAGTCTCCACGCATTCCATCAGGACCCTCTGCCTGCAGCCTGCTAACATGTCGTGTGAACTGTAACCCTTCTCTTTCTCTGGTGTTTTAAATCAGAACTCTTTCAAAACCTCTGTCTGCTCCCCTAACCTTAACGTTATGTCATGTTTGTATTGCATAAAGCTCGAGATGTAATTAAAAGAAAGTTTTGATATTATTTTGGCTTCTCTCTAAGTTGATTTAATTTCGTGCAGTCGGTGACTCTGATACTTGATCTCCGATCCAATCCTCCAACTGTGTAGTAGTGGGAAACTGAAGCGTGCTGAGTGTGAGTGGTGACATTTAAAGATGAGGATTTGCTGTGTCTCGTTCCTGATCACCCAGCCAAAGCGGCTAAAGGAAAGCATTCTACGACGTAATCCCTTTTGTGCTAATAATAATCTCATTATGTCTTTACAGAGGAAAAATCCAGTGTGTGTTGCCAATGAACTACAAGATCAAGTTGCTTCCCTAGCAAAAGTTGTATTTTCTATTTCTAAAGATTTAAGTGAGAAATACTTGTTTTCTCATGTGCAGTTCTCTTATGTCTCTTGCTTTATTCCTTAATGGGACTCAAGCAATTGGCTTAAAGTTTTGTTCTTGCTTTGCAGACCCCTTCTGCTGAGGCTGTAACTTTGCAAGTGAATTGTGCAGTAAGTCATTGCTAGGCAAATAAAACGGGGATGTTGTTGATGGAGGGCAGGAGTGCCTCTGGGCAGGGCAAATGCAGCACTACCTCCTCCACCAAGCAGCTTAACCTGAATCTCCTCCCCACTGCTGGTGACCACAAGTTGTTTCCAGTGTGTGGCTTTTATACAGCCTCTGGGCTGTGTTGTGGGATGAATTGGTGCTGCCCAGCTAGGTGGATGTCAGGGCTCGAGGAAATGCAGATTTTTCTTGGCATGCTTGGAGATTTATGGTCTACTCCTCTGGTATAAGTAAGTCTGATGCTTGTGTTTCTGCAGATTCCTATTGGGGGAAGTTTGGTTCTTGGTATTTAATAGAATGGGACGTATGCTCTTCCCAACATCAGTTTGTCTAAACCCTGTTATAAACAAGTCATTCCTTTGAAAATATTCCAGGGAAAAAATGACAACTAATATGCCTGAATCAAAAATACTGCAAAATTGAATATGAACATTTTAATCTTTTTTTTCTCTTTTTTTTAATGCAGCAAGCCAATTTATAACACACTTGACGTCTCTGAATGCTTTGATAAAAAGCCCATTTTTGATTACTAAAATACACTGCAGAATATTCCTAATCCATCATGCAGGCACCCGTTTCATAGTCCAGTTCAGAATACTCAAGAATACACTATTTACATTTGTGGGATAGTCACAGACTTTGCATAGTTTAAATTGTAAAAACAGATTTATGGAGGGTATTCCAAAAGTATGATGCTGGAGAAAATGGGAATATGCAATATTGTTCTCCAATGTTATTATTTTTGCCTTACATCAAAATATCTTGTTTTTCTTTTCTGTTAGAAGTATAAGTTAATGAAAAATAAAGCTGCTTACTGTTTAATCTGGCAAATAAACTGTGATCATTTGAATGAACTAAGTTGTCTGTACAAACCATTTCCTTGCTGTAATCAAGTTTACCATATTTGTGTTTAAATCCTAGACAGTAAGACACACTGAAATCCAAGACAGATGACACACTGGAACAGGTTGCCCAAGGAGGCTGTGGATGCCCCATCCCTGGAGGCATTCAAGGCCAGGCTGGATGTGGCTCTGGGCAGCCTGGTCTGCTGGTTGGCAACCCTGAACGTAACAGGGGGGTTAAACTAGATGATCATTGACGTCCTTTTCAACCCAGGCTACTCTATGAGTCTATGAAGCCATTTTTGATGGAAAAGCACAGTAGACTATTAAGATATTGCATTTCTTATTTATAGTGCCTGTGGCTAGGTGTGTGGTGATAGCTAAGTTACTGCCTGAGCCAGTGATTGAGCACCTGGTGAAGGGACACAGCCAGCCGTGGGAGCACAGGTGAAATTTCTGGTTCCACCCTTCCCTAAGCCTCATTTAAGGGCTGGCTGCCAAAGAGAGGGATCTCTATCTGGATATCCCTTCTATTGGAGTGTTTGGTGAATCCTGATCCTTAGGATAGGTAAGTGACTCCTTTCTTTAACTGGCTTGTGACTGTCACTCTTTTTTGGGTGATTTAGAACTGATGATGTGCTATTGCCTTTCCCTGTGCTTGGTAAGCAAGTTTACCTGCAGTGACTTCAGCTTTCTGATAGGGTTTACTGGCTGTGTCAAACTGTTTTTGGGGAAGCAAATACAGTCTGTTTCTTTTCTAAATAGCCAATGTTTTGTCTGGGTATTTCTGAGCTGGAGAAGGGTCCTGCAGGAGCTCCTGGTGCTGTCCTCATCTCAAAGGCATGTGACTTGCAGCCGTATAACAAGGCTGAGAATTGAAAGAGGTCTGAAGTGCTTTGACTCCTGCTTGATTTCATTATTCTGTTGTCCTGTCTTTCTGATGTACTCTGCTTAGAGTATAGGTCACCTATAAAGCAGACATGAAGTGGTGAAGGTCTGTGGAAAGAAGAGGGGGTACAAGGGCAGAGTTACCGTGATGACACAAGGGAAGTAGCAGATGCATGACAGTTTGAGGTATGAGATCAGACTGTAGACCTGAGAGCAAGCTGGAGCTCTGTCCCTGGGGTCTGGACCTCTCCTCCTGCAGGGTTATGTGGCTGTTTCTTCATGCCCTTGGGTGGGTAGAACTCTCTGATGGGCACCTTGCTGTGGGCCTCATTGGGAAGTGAGCAGTTACACTTCAGAGAGAAAACACTGACAGACCCTAAATGCTGCTGGTGGAAAGGAGCAGCATCTATACGTTCTTGAGGGGTGCCTATTCTTCGTGTCTGTTTTCTCCTGCTGCTTTTTTCCCTCCTCTTATTTTCTTACTGTGATTTCTATTGTGCTGCATCTTCCAGGGGGACATCCCCACAGTCAATTTCAAAAGGCTCTTCAGCAATTAAGCTTTCAAACCGTGAAAGCAGCTAATTCAAATTATTTTTTTCTGTGAGCTCAAAGTGTGTGTGCATGTGTGTGAAGAGATCGTGCTGCTCTTTCAGCTCCTAAAATCTCCCTAAAGAATAAAAGCCATTGTCAGTTTTCACATGCTTGGTTTTTTTTTTTTTTTTTGGTTTTTTTTTTTTTTCTTAGTCAATTAATGTTGTGAGAAAGGGATGAAAGTGTTACTTTGCAGGTTACAGCAAACAAGACACTACACAGCAGGCCATCCACTTTCTGTGGAGATGGATGGGATTTCTGTGCTACTCTAAATCTGCTGGGATTGTGACAAGGTTAGCAGGACACAAAGCGTAAGATATGGAGAGGCATGTTTTGAGACTAGTGAAAACCAGCAATACTGTACGCTGGAACAGCCTTTCCCCTCATCTTCTCTGCCAGTCAGTTGTACTTTCTGGATTTTTAAAATAAAAACCCTACATCTCTATTTTTTTCAGCATTTCTAATCAAATAAAACAGTGCATCAGGGCACCTCTTGCCCATCTTCCCCATAGTGCATCCAGATTTATAAGCATTTTCCCTCTGTGCCGTGATAAGAGAAGATGCCTAAGCCATTCTGGTCCAGCTTCAATTGAAGTTTTCAAACTTTATCTACTGATCTCCTTTCTTAGGCTGTACTGACTTCACGTATCTCATCAGGAAGTCAATTAAGTAATATGAAATAGATACATGTTAGAGGAAAAGGGAGGAGCTTGGTCAAAGACTGATGAATTTCATCTGTAGAAGAATGGCTCTTTGTTTAGGGTGGGAAATGGCTCAATTTGGGTCTTAAAATCTTGTCATATAATTCCTGGGGAGTTGCAGTTGAGTTGCTTCATGCTTTTCACTTGTATCACAGATTCCCACCAAGTTCTGTCTTCTCTGGAGAGCTGCAGCCTACACTGAACTCTCCTCCTCATTGAGGGGCTCCACTGCAGTTGAATAGCCTAATTTTTCATGGGAAATGGAGCCCAACTGTAGAGTTGTGCCCTTGATGGAAAAATGTAAACTTGAAACATAAGAACTAAAATGTCTCTGGTGTGCTGCAAATACGTTTCTTTCTCCACTGTTCTTGGTTTTTGTTTGTTTGTTTGTTTTTTGCATGTTGACTCCCTTCTCTTTTCTTCTCCTGTGTTTAAGGAGTACTTTATCCATAG